TTGTCTTTTCTCTTTTCCCCACGCAGGTCATGAAAGCCCTTCTGGAGGCCACTGTGTGATCTCAGAGTTTATAAGACCCCTACAACTCTCCGGTGACAAACCGGAGCAATTGTCCATCAAGCCAACTTTCCTCTCCCGATCCCGGTCTGGCAGCCCAGGATGCAGATTTGAATCAGAGGTAAGTTAAAGAAAAGACGGGCCGGGTTCCAGCTTCCTTCAGTGTCACCACAAGTGGGTCATCCAGCTTCATAAAGAACATTTAGATCGTGCCAGTTTCACCGGTGGTGGGTCTCAATCCCAAGGAAAGAGATAAATTTTAGGTGAGGAACCACAACCCTAAACTCGGCCATGTACCTGGACAAAGGTTGAAGTGTTATCAACGCAATCTGTGCCTCCTTTATTCAAGCACAGAACAGACTGGAAAGGGTTATGCCCGTCTCTAACTGCACCATCCCTGTGATTTTTTTTAAAGAAACATTTCGAATCACCATCCTCCTCTTAGAACTTCAGAGCTGGGAGGGAACCTTACGGATCATCATTTCTTTAAGGACATAGGCACGAAACTTTCATTTCTCCTCCAACCCACCTTAATGTGGTACCTTTCTAAATCCCACAAAAGAATACAGAAAGTGTGTTCCAGCTTGAAGAATTCCAGATTTTAAATGGCCAGTTTCTCCCCCTGCCCTTCCCCTACAAACTGGTCTCCGTGACCTATTTCTTCATAAAGAGATCTGGAGGTCTCGAAACCTTGCTAAAGTTGAAGAAACAAAAAAAACATTAATCAGGGATTGGCGTTCTCTCCTCCACCTCTTTAGAAACAGCGTGGGTACTTTTCCTTGTTTAAAATGTCGGAACCAGTGTTGGCTGGTGCTTATCAGGACTGGTTGGGGCAGCGAGACCGATGGAAGGTGAAACCGCAGCCAACCACTAACTTTGACCCTTTTCTCTTTGCAATACACGAGATTGAACCGGGGTTCCCCCACCTTGGGTCCCCAGATGTTTTTGGACTACAACTCCCAGAAGCCTTCACCACGAGCTGTGCTGGCCAGGATTTCTGGGAGTTGTAGGCCAAGAACATCTGGAGGCCCAAGGTGGGGAACCCCTGGTCTAGCAGAATGGCACAAGGCTCAGCTACCTAAGTCCAGGAACAAGGTGGGGAACCCCTGGTCTAGCAGAACGGCACAAGGCTCAGCTACCTAAGTCCAGGAGTCTCCCATAGAATCATGCTTTCTTCCTTGCAGGCCAGGAAGGATCTGATCCACCACTTTCTAGTGCGCTCCCTGCCCTAAAGGGTCAGACTTCACTGAAGGGATGGAGGCAGGAAAGAGTGATGTTTGTCCACCGTGACGTGAGAGGCACTAAGAAACGCTTTCCTGTGCCGGCTCCATGCATGGGGATGGATTCATCTTCCCTCCCATTTCCAGAAGAAGACATTATGATTTCGCTACCACCGCTGTTGAGACTGCAACCCTAGTCACTCTTGAGCAAACCCCCCAGAACCTGGTAAAACATACAGAAGATGCACCTCTCCATAAGACGCACCAATTTTTTAGGAGAAGAAAACGAACATACTTTTAAATTAAGTAGACGTAGGGTTGCATGAGAAACATGCAGAGAAGCTGTTTGGTTGAGAGTTTTCAGCGAAAGGTTGTGTCTGCTGAGTGGGAGTGGACAGTGCTGTGTTGCTCCCACCCCTCCAGAAACGTGATGCTGGAAAAGGTTGAGTTTTCTTCTCCTGCTCTTTGCTTCTAAGTAGACGTAGGGTTGCATGATAAACATGCAGAGAAGCTGTTTGGTTCAGAGTTTTCAGCGAAATGTTGTGTCTGCTGAGTAGGCGGGGGCAGTGCTGTGTTGCACCCACCCCTCCAGAAACGTGATGCTGGAAAAGGTTGAGTTTTCTTCTCCTGCTCTTTGCTTCTTTCCCTGGCTCAAGCATAGCTGTTTTGAATGGAATTGCTGGCGGCCCACCTTTTCTTTCTGTGATCACAAGATTCTTGCACACAACAGAAACAAATTTGGCTTCAGATCTAACATCCCAGAAGACTGAGAGCAGAAAGTTATATTAAGCACAAAAGCTTTGATAGAAATCAAGTTTTTTTAAAAAAGCAAAGCAATCCAGAGGTCCTTGGCACAGTAGATTCTGAACACCCTCTATTCTGCCGAGAAGTCGTCTATTTGCTGGCTTGCTGATTGACACAAAGTGGAGGGAAGTAAAGACCTCCAAACGAATCATTATGGGCGTGGTTCTATTGCATGCCAGCCAAGCAGAAGGAAGGGCTGGGTTCTTTTCTCCGTGGGTCATGGCATGAGTGGGAAGGAAACAGTAGAGAGAACCTTGCTGCTTTTATGGTGAGGCGGATAGCTGGAGAGTAGGCAGACAGAAGCAGCGCATGTCGAGTAAAACTATTCCTGTAGGGTTGTTGTTTTTTCTTGTTCCAATGACTTCATGGGCAAATAGGCCCTTCTGTGTGTGCAAAGTTTTGGGAGAAGTTACTTGCAATTAACAACTTTTTTTTTCCTTTGAGCATGGGGACCACTAATTTCCACTGGAAGTGTAACTTAGCAAGGCACAGTTTCACTCGTTTTGTATTGCAATTGTAATATTTTAGTTCTTTATGATGATCGTGATCATCGTCTTAGAACTGCAGGTCTGGAAGGAGGCCCTGTCGATCATTGATTATACAGCCATAGACCGCAAAAGGAGACATGAATGAGAGAAACAGAGCATGCCGAACAGAATTCACGTTGCAATAACACAATAACCCTAAAATATATTATGAAAATGGATTGGGGATTCTGAGATTTGTAGTCCAGAAAGGTAAATTCTCCAAACTCTGCTGATTTCTGGAAAACAAATTCAGAATGGGTTCTGATTATCCATTCTTTCTGTGAAATGGCCTTCCAGCAAGAATAGTTGCTGATAACGGGTGGCCTTTGTGACAAATGCAACAGTGTTCTGAGTTGGCATAACGAGGATCCCGGGGCTCATCTCTTGATAGTCAAAGATTCTATCCAGGATCAGTGCCTGTTTCCATCACTCTTTTGCTTATAGAGTGATGGATTGGCTTATGCATGAACAAATCAGCTTATGCAGGAAGCTGAACACTACAGTCCGTCCCATTTTTGAACCTTTTATTAAACTCCTCTTGTTTTTCGTACCACGCGTTCCTAAATAAATAAAACGATCAGCGTTCCGTCTGGAAAATGGGGAAAATAGTGTATTTGTGTGCTGAAATCTCACAATAAGCATCGTTGTATCCTCCAGAACAGTAAGTAACAATATATGCTATATTGATATATGGAGGTAGAAGACCTATCCTGTTTATTACTTCTTCTTGCAGATGGATAATGAACGGAATTCTAATACCTCAAAGCAGAGATACTCTGGAAAAGTCCATCTTTGCATTGCTCGATACAGGTAACAAACTCACAAAACAGGCTTTCCCATGACTTTCCGTGGGGAAGTGGGGATTGATGGGCTTCCTTGCAAAGTCATGAGTAGCTGCAAGGAGCCATCTCTCTTACCTTACACGCATGCCTCCCGACACCCTAAAGTTGTCTAAAACCCTGGGGCTTTTGCAGGAAAGAATCAGGATGCAGCAACTGGGGGATGAGGAAGTGAGCAAGAACTTATTTTCATTTATTTATTCAATTTATACCCTGCCCATCTAGACCGAACGTCCTTTCTGCCTCTTCCTGGTCAATCTTGGCCTAAGAAATAGTGGTGCCCCGCATAACGAGCGCCCCATCTAACGACGAATCCGCATAGCGATGTATTTTTTGCGATCGCAAAAGCGATTGCATTGCTATGTTCCCAATGGCAAAAAATCACTTTCGCTTACCGATTTTCGCATAGCGATGTTTTTTCTAACAGCTGATCGGCGGTTCCAAAATGGCCGCCGGGTAAATAAAATGGCCGCCCGCTGTGTTTTCGCGCCCTTTCCTCGCTTACCAGGCAGCGAAAATGGCGGCCGCATGGAAGATTTCTGCATAGCGGTGAGTTTTTCCCACATAGGAACACATTAAACGTGTTTTAATGCATTCCTATGGGATTTTTTGTCCCGCATAGCAACGAATCCAGATAGCGATGATTTTTTTGGAACGGATAATCCTTGCTATGCAGGGCACCACTGTATTTAACCCTGATTCATCAGAACTCCCTAAAGATAATGAGGAGGAATCGCCACTTCTGTTTTCCCTGCAGTTATAACCCGTTTGATGGACCAAATGAAAATCCCGAAGCGGAACTCCCTCTCACAGCAGGAAAATACCTCTATGTGTATGGAGACATGGATGAAGATGGCTTTTATGAAGGTCTGTTGAGGAATGGATCTGTGGTTTCTGTTGGCCTTCAATTCTGTGTTCACAGGAACTGTCTGTCCTTTGCAGTGATAAACCCAGTCAAGGGAGGTGGCACCTCAGTTTTGGAATGACCATCCCCAGGGAGGGCCAGTTGGTACCAGAATGTTGACCTTATTTCAGTTCCAAATCAAAAAAACTGACCTCTTCATTCATTAAAGCTTCTGAGGACTTGGCTATGTTGTGGAGTTCTGTTTACAGGGTGTTTGGTTCTAAATTGTTTTAAATGAATGATCCTTTTACATTACGTTTAGAACCATTCATTCTTTTAAATAGTTTTATTGTCTGAAACCTCCCCTAAGATCTTTCGATACACATATTTTAATAAATATTAAATAAACCAGACCCAAGTAAAGAACTTCGGTGTCTGGTATTCACAGCTCTGCATCCGTGGAGGTTCTACACAGCTATTATCATGGCTAGACGGACGTGTTTGAGAGACCCAAATACAGTGAATTTTGTACCGGTCTTTGTAAAGGGTCAGTCTTTCCTGGTGTGGCACCTTCAAGTTGTGTTAGGATAGTATTTGTCAGCTGGCAACACAGTAGATCAGTGGAGCAAAGCCAAAGTGGGTGGCCTGTTTCAGCTTGTGGTCCAAAATTAACCATTAGTGCAACCTGCTTACTTTATTTTCTCTTTCTCTTCTAGGTGAACTTCTAGATGGGCAGCGAGGGCTTGTTCCTTCCAACTTTGTGGATTTCGTGCAGGACAGCGAATCCCGTCTATCAAGTGGGCTGGGCAGTGAGCAAGACCAGAATTACATCAACCACGCAGGTCCCACGTTGGACGGAGATCGCCTTTTGGATATCAACCCGCCGAGCCACTTAGAGTCCAGTCTCGTCAATAACGGTGCAGGGACCCTGGATGTAAACATTGACGAAATTGGAGAAGACATTGTGCCTTATCCTAGAAAAATTACCCTTATCAAACAGCTAGCCAAAAGTGTCATTGTGGGCTGGGAAAGTCCGATCGTGCCACCCGGGTGGGGAACCATTCATAGCTACAACGTCCTGGTAGACAAAGAAATACGGATGACCGTAGCCCTGGGAAGCAGAAGTAAAGCTCTTATAGAGAAACTTAACATTGCTACTTGCACTTACCGAATATCGATTCAAAGCATCACTAGTCGGGGCAATTCTGACGAGTTGCAATGCACGTTGCTGGTGGGCAAGGATGTCATTGTGGCCCCTTCCCACCTCAAGGTCGACAACGTCACCCAGATCTCCGCCGAACTGACCTGGCTCCCGACCAACAGCAACTACAGCCACGTGATCTTCCTCAACGAGGAAGAGTTTGATATCGTCAAGGCTGCCCGATACAAGTACCAGTTTTTTAACCTGAAGCCCAACATGGCCTACAAGGTGAAGGTATTGGCCAAACCTCACCAAATGCCCTGGCAGCTGCCGCTTGAGCAGCGGGAAAAAAAAGAAGCCTTCATAGAGTTTTCGACCTTGCCAGCAGGTAGAGTTCCATGTCTTTGCCATCGTCTGAGGACGCTTGCATCCATTTGCAGTGGTGCCTCGCTAGGCGATGATAATCCGTTCCACTGAAATCGCTGTTTAGCGAAATCATCGTCTAGCGAAACGCATTTTCCCCATTGGAATGCATTGAAACCTGTTTAATGCATTCCAATGGGGAAGAATCGTCATTGTCTAGCAAAGATCGGCCATAGGAAAGCCACTTTGCGAACCGCCGATCAGCTGTTTAAATTGCTGTCTTGCGAAGCTTAGGTCCCGAAAACACCTGTTTTGCGAGCGCAGAGGGAGCTGTCAAAATCGTTGCCTAGCGAAAATTGGTTTGTGAAGCAGGGACCAAACATTGTCCAGCGAAATTCCCCCATAGGAATCACTGTTTTGCGAATTGCTGTAGCGATCGCAAAAAGTCAATGTCTAGCGAAAAAACTGTCATGCGGGGTAACTGTCTAGCGAGGCACCACTGTATTCAACTTTGCCAGCTTGTGTGATTCAATGGGCTGAACCAGCAGCCCTTCTCAATGGGGGTCCATATGGCCCCTTGGTGGCCCTGGCAATTTGAAGGTTGGGGGCACAGACTGGAAACGATTCTTCACACCCCACCTTCTAAGGTTCATTATGCGACTTATACAATCCTGATTCAGTCTATATTTCTTTCAGACTGTGTTTACGGCTATGGCCAAGAAAAAGGCTGGGAATGGCTGGAAACACAACTAGAGGAGATCATTGAATAAACAGCGCGTGTGAAGTCGAAGTTATTTAAACCCCATGTAGTCAATGGGTCCAGACTCACTGGTCTAGACTTACATGACTTTGGCTGAACAGATGCTATTTATCCAGTGATCTACTCTTGTTGCCAGAGTAGACAATTGAATAAATGACATCTGTTCTGTCTGAGTCTTGTAAGTCCTGTGGATTTACTCTTGTTGGTCTAGAGTTGGAAGTAACAACGGTCTTTCAATTTCTTTTTCATCTCCATTTTTACTTACTGTGTTATCACTGTGCATTTTTATTTACTGGATATTGCCAGCAAATCTCATTTAGTAGGCAAAATCCAGTTCTGAAGTCCCTAGACCAGCGACGGCGGGCCTAGGGCTCGCGTGCCACAGCTGGCGCGCAGAGCCCTTTCTGCGGGCGGGCGACCCATAAGTCGCCAGGTTGCTACTCCCCCTCCTGCAGCCGAACTTCAGGAGGCGGCTGCAGTTACATTGCTGGCACTTTGACAGGCAGCAGGCCAGGATCCGGAGCAGCTGGTGCTGGCGGTGGACCCGGAGTGGGGTTTCGAGGCACTTCCATGTCCGGGATTCACCCTTCTGCCATCACTTCCAGTTCCGCCACTGCTCTAGACTGAAACCATTCAATGAATGGTATTCATTAAGGCAACACTTTAATTCAATGTGTCTATTATAGTTGGTACTAACTGCTCGGTTTAGACTTTTTAAAAAAATGTTATCTTTAACTATCACCAATATTTTGATCTATTATTTATGCAGTACTGCAAGTAGAGGTGCCTTTATTTACCGTATTTTTCGCACCATAAGACGCACTTTCCCCCCACAAAACGGGGGTGGAAAGTCTGTGCGTCTTATGGAGCGAAGAAAACAGATTATACTTTCCTGTTTTCTTCTCCTAAAAAATTGGTGCGTCTTATGGAAAGGTGCGTCTTATGGAGCGAAAAATACGGTGTGTGTATATATATTTCAATATCATAGTATTGCTGTCCATTTTTTTAGAGAACCATTGGTGCATAGGGTAGCTAACAAAATTTGCAAATTTCTTCATAAATTCAATGGGAAAAACCTGGACTTTTTAAAGAAACGAATGCAGGGGACAAAAAAGTGTCACGTTTGTCTTTTCTCCTGTGGGACCCTCCAGATATTCTGGACGACAGCTGGCGTATTCTCTGTTCACTAGCTATGGAGTTTATGGGGGCTGTGGCCCAGAAAATTTGGGGAGGTCCAGTTTTGGCCCACCCCTACTACTATCAACAGTCCCCCTCTATTTGACCCTGGTTAGACCTCATCCAAGAGTTTTGGGTCCAATTCTGAACACCACGCTTCCAGAGAGATGCCCACAAACTGGAGCAAGTTCATAGAAGGACAAGAAGGAGGATCAAGGGACTGGAAACCAAGCCCTGTGAGGAATGATTGAAAGAACTGGGCCTGTTTGCGTTGGGGAAAAGAAGGCTGAAGGGAGAGAGAGAGGATAAGACTCTTCAAAGACGTGAAAAGTCGTCGCACACTGGAGGGACAGGATCTGTTCTCCATCCTCCAGAGTGCGGGACATGTAAGGATGGGCTCAAGCGACCGGAAGCCAGATTTCAGCTGAAGATCCAGTAAAAGCTTTTTAACTCTTAAGAGCAGTACGAACTCTTGGTTTGCTCAGTTACGTGGAGTTATAGCTGAACATGATGTGAGAGAGCTCATGAAATATACATTCTTTTAATAACGGCAGAGGTATTTTTAGGCTTTAGGTTTCCATCCGGCACGTTTCTATATATAGGGGACTGGCATTTTAATTAGAGGCATAGCAAGTATGCATGTGTCATGATAGCAGGTTGTCAGGACCGTCAGATGAGGAGACTTTGGCTCAGTTCTTTTTTTGCTGGGTGAGATTGGGGGGTTGGTGCGCAGACTCTGCGATTTTGGAATAGAAACTCATTTTCTTTCAGAGAAGTAAAAACAAAGGCCAGGGACACAGTTCAGGTGAAGCTAAGCATACCTGTGTCTGCTCACTACAGTGGTGCCTCGCTAGACGATGATAATCTGTTCCACTGAAATCGCTGTTTAGCGAAATCATTGTCTGGCGAAAAGTATTTCCCCATTGGAATGCATTGAAACCTGTTTAATGCGTTCCAACGGGGAAGAATCGTCGTTGTCTAGCAAAGATCGGCCATAGGAAA